ATTCCTTACATATATCTACAATTGTATCGTACGCACCACCCACTTTCCTCTGCTATGGAAACATTCCACTATTATCCTTTTCCAAAAACCAGGCAAACCTCCCAATATCTCAACATCCTATAGACCAATCAGCCTACTCCCAATCCTTTCAAAAATTTTTGAAAAGATCCTTTTGAAACGAGTCCTACCCATTATAGAATCCCAAAATATTCCTTCCCATCAGTTTGGTTTTCGCTCCCAACATTCTACTGTTCAACAAGGACTCCGAGTTGTTGATCATATTTCCTCAGCCCTAGAAAACAAGGAATACTGTTCGGGTGCATTTCTGGACATTGCACAGGCATTTGACCGGGTATGGCACTCCGGACTGCTCTTCAAGCTTAAAATCCATTTACCTCAGTCCTTGTACCTAGTCCTCTGATCCTACCTCTCTGACCGCTCCTTCCGAGTTCGCTGTGGAACAGAATTTTCCAATATCTACTCCGTTAAAGCCGGTGTTCTCCAAGGCAGCGTCTTGGGTCCCGTGCTTTACATCCTCTTTACTGCTGACATCCCTGTTCATCCACATACTTTTCTTGCAACATTCGCTGACGACACCACAATCTTATCATCCAACTCTGATCCCAACATAGCATCCTTAAATCTCCAAAACCACCTCACCTTGATTGAGCACTGGTGTAATAACTGGCGCATTAAAGTTAATGAATCTAAATGCCAACATATTACCTTTACACTCCGCCGCAGTTCCTGTCCACCAGTACACTTTAATTCCATCCAGCTTCCTTACTCAGACACAGTCCGGTATCTTGGCTTTCATTTAGACCGAAGACTAACGTGGAACCCACATACTAGACTCAAAAGACAAGAACTCAACCGACGATACGGCCAGCTATACAGACTACTAAACAGAAAATCCAAACTTTCTATTGAAAACAAATTACTTATCTACAAGACAATACTGAAACCTATATGGACATACGGACTTGAACTGTGGGGGACAGCAAAAGCTTCTAACATCAAACGTATTCAATCCTTTCAATCTAAAGTCCTTCGAACAATAGTTGATGCTCCGTTCTATGTAAATAACAAAATCCTACACCATGATCTTAATATCCCATTTGTCCTAGACCTTATTCCAGAAAAATTCGCCAAATTTCACCAAAACCTTACCTATCATCCAAATCCCCTTGCACAATCTCTATCCAGCACCACCCATCCTTACAATCCTCCTCGAAGGCTGAAGCGGCAGTGGCCCAGAGACCTTTTGTAAATAAGCATCTATTGGAGTTTTTTCAATGGCCAGATCCTCCACTCAAGCCCGAGTGTGTATGATTAGGTTAGTTCTTTTGTTTATATACATTTATTTTATTTTATTGTATTTATTTTTATTTTATTTTATTGTATTTATTATTATTAAGTTTCTGTATTATTTATTTTTTTTTTATTGTAAATAGAGTGTGAGTGTGCTTTCTCTGATCACTATTATAAATGTCCTTGATGTGACAGAATGTAATATTTCTAAATAAACAAATATATAAATAAATTCCGATTCAAAGTCTCCCTGAGTATAATTACAATGCTCTGACTTTAGGTGCATTGCCTGGTTTAATGTTTAGAAACAAAATATAATGCAATAATTTTTAATTAAATTAATATTACTTAAATTACAAAATAATCATGAGGATAAAAAAGATAATTATGTTATAAATCGAAAAATCCTAACAAAGCCATGAGTCTACAAACGTACGGGTGAATAGTTGCCAATGTTTCGCCAATTCACCCATAGTCAGAGCAGAAAAACCAATATCACCTATACGCAGAAAGAAAAAGAACAAAAATTAAATATAAAATACAAAAAATGTTTGAATTAGACACCTCACGAAGCCAACCAAATACATACTGAAGGAAAGAGAAGGTTCTATAAGGTTTACACAGCTAACAAAGGTTATATTGAACAGCTGACTAGCAGAAATACAATGAATAAAATATATATATACATAACTAAAGTAAAATTGGTTGTTACATATAGCTTCCAGCTTTTTCTATTGTAATTATTAATTTGTTACTTTATTTTATTCAACACATTTTTTATAACTATATTTTAGTTATGATTTATCTTTCATTTTATTTCTCTCAGTCAGCTGATCAATATAACATTCCTTAGTTGAGTTAATAGAGACTTCTATTTTCTTTAGTATATATTTGGTTGGCTTCATGAGATGTCAACTGCAAACATTTTTTTTTTTTTTAATTTTGTTTAGTTCTTTTTCTTTACATTTTTTAAATTTATATTAATTATTCGTATTCTACATCGTATAAAACAATAAATAAATAATAATTTTTATATTAAATGTAATCTAATTTGTATTGCACCATCGTGGAAAAACAGACAAAAAAAGGAAAGAAAATCAACCCATTCTCTTCAGTTTACAGCACGAAATTCTATTATGTGGATTTTAAGTTTAAAAAAATAAATTTTGTTAGGTTACGTATTTCATTTGTAGATTTGTGAACCTGCCTCAATTCGCCTACTCTCGATTTTTTCTTCGAAGGAGATATAAAGAATACATAATATACTAACAACGATTATCATTTTAAAATATAATTAACACCCTTCAAAAGAAAATAAACCGCAGAGACCTTGAAGCAGCTGGGGAAATACAGAATGGAATATCTATCAGATCAGGACAATGGGATCTTGTGCACCCGGTTTCCTCTCGCTCCATTTTCCCTTATCAGTTTCTCTCTTCCACAGCCTGTGAAATTATCAATTTTATCGATCATACGATTCACCAATGTATGAAATTGTAATCTATGCTAACTGTGTTTTGCTTGATGCCTTTATTTTAAATAGATGTTGTTTATAACTGGTTTCGGTAGTTTTAGTTAAGTATACTTTATCAAAATAGACTTTTAAAATTTTAAAAATGCATCTATTCAAATTTGTTTATTCCTTTATTAATTCAAACAGTGATAGGAATATCTTTGGCCTTAATTGAAATAAATATACATACTCACACACATACATACATTATAATGTAAAAAAAGTTATTCAATGGATAAAATTGCTTTATTTTGTAACTATATAAACGCTGATAATCATATTCGACTCGTTTAAGACGAACCCTGAAGTGTATGAAACATACTTTTCTATTTATACAGCATCTATTTCATTGGTGTGAGAGTATAAATCTCGCTGTTATCTAGTTGATCCTTTGATTGACTATTTGCAAAACTGTAGTTGACATTTGTCTCTGGTACAAAATGTGTCCAATGATTTATAAATAGTTAGATAGTTTCTATTAGTCAATCTATTCTGAAATATTACCAGTCACATTTTTAATGTAATTCAATATAAATATTAATTTAAAGGTTGTTAAATATTTCTTGTTATGAATTATTTATGCTTTAATCAATTTTACTAACTTATGTATGGTATACATAACAATGGAAAATATTGCGAAAACGAAAAATTTTGAATTTGAGTATCGGACTGAAGATAAAATTTGAGATAAAATTAAGTCATCTTTAATATTAGGTATTACCCTGATTGGAATATTCCTATATTTCATTTATTTGAAATAATTAGCCACTTCATATTACAAACTAGGAATAAAAAAAAATGGGCTTTAATAGAAACTATAAAAGAATTTGATAAATTGCTATATACGGAATAAGGGATTGTATTGTAGAACCGAAAAAACAATATCGCGTACTCTAGCGTGACCGAAAAACAGAACTATTGCTTAATATATCACTGGCTCCAATAATATCATATGCATTCACAAGTGCGGTTTTCATAAATTCTAAGGCCGGTATTATTTAATACATAATTGTATAGATTACAACATTGTAAAAATTAAAATTTCTATATACCAGTGCTTAATCAAATAAAAATACCCATAACGAAAGATAAAGCGACCTTCTTTAAGACTGGCGTTCTTTTCGGATTAAAAAAAATTCATGGCACTTAAATGTTTACTATTAAAATTAAAATATGCAGTTGTAAAATGAAATTAGTGACAAAGTATAAGTTTAATACATCGCACCGCTGAAAAAAACGCATGGTAATTAATTGTTTTAAATAGTATGTGGTAATTTTTATTTTCATTTTAGTAGACGTATTTGAACTAGGGTGGTAAATAAGGGTTGTGTGAAGCACGCACCGCTTCAGTGTTTTTATTAATATTCCTATTAATCTCGTTCATTACAAAAATACATTTCGGCGTGATATTAGAAAATACAATAATTATGTGTTATGAGGAAAGTTATTAGTATTCTACTCAAATACAGCTTCCATTTCGTTCACAATCGGTTCAGCTTTGGGCTCTTACCGCAGAAAGTTGCCCTTGCTACAGTTGGTTTAATTAATGATCTTGTGTATTTTACACTTATCCATGATAAAAATTAAACCTTGGAAATCAATTCCATCCTTATTAATATAATCTAAATTTTCTTCATTTTTTGTTCAGTTCCATGTAGAGATTTATAAATGTTACATCATTGCACTCTGCTCATAAATAGAGTATAGGCATTGGCTATATATTATGTATAAAATTTGGATTTACTACCTTTCTGGCCAAAGTATACTTTTTATACCTTATATAAATATTTAAAATAAAGATGAATACATTCAAACTATTTTGCAGATTTTTTTATTAAAATTATATGCTACAGTTTTCCTCCAAGGTTCTGAATTAGAAATATTACTTAATTTTTAATGAAAAGAAAACATTATTAATTTTCAAGTGCATAAGATCTAAACCAGGTATTTCATCATGAGCTTTAAGAAAGATTACACTATTATTTAACATGTTGTTGTTTTTTTTCAATATGGATAGATTATCTTAAAATCTAGCGACATACCATATTCCTGTGTGACAAGTTAGAGATTTAGATATATCTATTTCTCATGAAGTACAATACCAACCTTATCGGTCGGAATTGAACCAGCTAATTTTAAGCCTACAGGAATCATGTTCCGGGGTCAGCCACAGACAATGCAAATGTTCGCGACACCTATTGAAGAAAACTTAGCACACATTTTTGTTTGTATGTGTGCGAGTTTTTTATATGTATATAAGTAAAACAAATTTGTTAAATTTGTATATCTGTCTATGAAGTCCTTTCACTGCATAACAATCTGAATTTGTTTTTTAGATTCACCATCTTGAACGCTGTCTTGGTAACTAAGATGTCGGATCTCCTGGAACTTGTGAACTCGGAGTCAAGAGTGATGCTCCTGTACGCCACTAGGGAGGAAGCCATCCTCATCCTCTCCTGGGCCAGGGAATACGGCATAACTGGAGAAAACTACGTCTGGGTTGTGACCCAAAGTGTCATCGAGAATCAGATGAACCCATCGCAGTTTCCTGTTGGCATGTTAGGTATGTAAACACTCGAAAAATATCATTAGACATGAAATCCCTATTTGGGAAGATAAGATTAATGCTTTCATGTTTTTTGTTATCGATTTATCTTTTTATAGAGCAATAATATATTTTGTCACACTTTAGGGCACTGTGTACTAAAGCTGAGCGAGGGACATTCATACCATGTTACAAAATAATATAAATTATACATATATGAAATAAATATAAAAACAGATAGATAATCCTTGAAAGTATTGTTATAATATAAGAGTGTAGATCAACATATTGAAACCGAATCTGTTACTGCTTAAAGTAATTTCAATTAAGAGTTGAATAAGGAAACAAATTATATTAGTTCATGCCATAAGTAATATCTTGGCTTGTTGTTAATTTAAACATATGACTACAATTTCTGCACGGTTAAATCAGTTTACAATCAAGAAGATAAAAACACTTTTTTAATTGAAACATTCATAATTTTTAAAAAAATAGATTTCTTCGAAGTATTTTTTACACCAGGGTATGCGTGACTGAAAAAAAAAAATATACCCAAAAGTCCAACGCCCATGGATCCGCTAGTGCCAAACGCTGAGGAGGTATGTGTGAGATGTATGACGAGCTGAAGTGTAGAATCTGAGCCTCAGTTGTGTAAGCACTTCTCTCTCAGTCACTCACTCTCACTCCCTCTCTCTCTGCTGAGCTATGTTTATCCCTCCTTCAGTTTCATATTCCTACTCGTATGTTAGTATCGGATTACATAATGGAATATTGTTATCGATTAGCTGTGCACTTTATTATTATTTTTTAACTTTATAAACATTTTTTGTACACAATCTAATGTATAAAAAAGGTCATGGGCAATTCACTATTAATCTATAGAACAGTTGACAATGTCTTATGTTCTGAAATTTTAATTTCGCCTTCCTTTAGCAAATAATACAGCTATTATATCATTTTACATTTTTCCTCCACCGCAGTTCTTTTTCACCAGTCATATTTGGTATTGTTCCATTACCTATATCTACCGGTCATGACTATCTCCAAAGGCAAGTCTGCATCTGCTGTGTCGGACGACAGTACTTTAGAAACAAAGCCAGAACAGAAGGTGAAATTTACTGGGCTGCTAGACGTCGCATGGCCGAAAGAACTCAAGACGATCAAGGCATAAGATTAAAAAGAAATTACCTATATATAAGAAAGCTTGATGTTATCCTAGAAAAATATAATCGCCTGGAACCCACTTACTAGAATAGATTTAAGAAACAAGAAGTTGATAAAGGATTCGGCTAAGTACACATGATACTAAGCTGACTATCCTATGGCATGTCAGGACTTACGAACTTGAACTGTGATGGAATGAAAAATATTCATACATCAAATATATCTACTCCCACGGATCAAAATCCTCAAAACCATAATTATCGTTCTATATCTCGTCTTCAACAAAACGCTTCATTTAGATATTTATATACCTCACTTCCTTTATTGTATATATATAAAATTTACAAAATTTCACTCGAATCTCTCCAATCCACAGGTCCAATCCTTATCGGGCTATTATAATTACCATTACTATGTATTGCTGAATTTCTGACAGATTATAAAATAATGTTTTCAATTTTTGTGTTTTGTCTAAAACACACTATATTTACTTAAATGATTTATTTCCTCTTGCTGATCGTGAGAATTCTCGTCTACTAGCTCCGGCGTTTCTCTGATAAACTTTACATAACAGAGACTATGAATCAGTGGAGAGAAGGAAAACAAAAACATAAAGTCCAATATAACACATGTTTAAGAACTTATCTACAATTTTAATGATATAGCCGGTTTGAACTATAATTATATTAGTCCATAATTATAGAGATGAATTTAAAGGGGCTCAATGTAAAGCTCAGGAAAAATCTGTGATAATATTAAACTGGTAAGTATTTAATAGGGTAAAAAAGGAAGAGCTGTGCGAGTAAAGTTAAAAAAAAAAATAAAACAAACCTCAGAAAGGATTAATGGGTTCTACCTCATGTACCTTAATCCGGGTTTTGTACTCTTTAGGGAGTTATTAACTTTTCGAATATTCGATTCATAAATGCTTAGATAGATATAGATGCTTCGACCAAAAAGTGGCGAGTCGTGCACCTGCGAAACCTCAACAGCCATAATAAGTGAATCTAATTCATTTCATCATTTCCGTAGCAAAAAATAAAGTTAGAAATTATGATGGGGAAGTTGTCGATTTTAAAATAAGATAGGATTTTAATAAACTAGAAAAAGCATGAAAAATCTGGGGTAATTCCAATTGAGTATTTTAAAAAATAACTGATTAATAACTTTTCTACTCTTTAATAGATATGCCTGTTTGTTCGATATCTAAATAATGAACAGAATATTAATGTTTCAATTATTTTTCTTTACTATTTAATGATGAATTTTGTTTTCATTTTAAATTATCTGGGAACAATGCAGATATTAAATATTTAAAAATAAGGCTAATGCCATTTTAATTGCAAAGAAAATATTTTTAAATCATCTTTTGCATTGTACAATAAATAATGTAATCAACCTTTCAACATATTTATTAAACTTTTACCATGTAAACTATTCGGTATCGTGTGAAAACTGACAATGATATTCTCCAAAGCCAATATAACATGTATTCACTCATTTTAAAGTCATCATAGAAATTTCGAATTTTAGACAATGTCGTGAGTTTTCTCTTGCTCAGCCAATTGAACATAGCTCACCAGCTACGGATTGGCAACCCATTCTTTACAGTATAAGCGAAAAAAATCTCCGAAATAATAGGCTCTATTTAAATGAAGCAGTAAAAAGGAGGCAACTATATTTTATGAAACAGAAACTCTTCTATAGATTTATTTATAATCTCAATTTAAATGTTCAACAAAATATTCAACTTTGATTATTTGAAAAAAAAAAATGTAAATTTTACCTCACAGTCGAAGTGATACACCTCACTTCTTATTAACTTTTAAATACTATTAAGGCAAGCCATTATATTCTACTACTTCTTGCAGTCTCTTCGTATTTGAGTCTTCCTTTTTTTTTTTTTTTTTTTTTTTTTTTTTTTTTTTTTTTTTTTTTTTTTTTTTTGTGAATTCTTTTCTCCGTCTATTCCACTCTTCGAGGAGATATTTTTAAATCTTCGTCTCTAGAAATTTCCTGTTTTCTAATTTCTTCCTCCTATTTTTCCCACTGGGGTGGTATCACATTAGGATCTGATGACTGTGGTAGAGAAAATAGCTATTCCTTAAATAACATGGTAGGATTTATGGTCATTGTCCTGATAAAAATTAAATTTGTTTTTTCTTCCGAGATTTCTCGCTATTTCTTTCAAGTTCCTATTCAAAATGCCTTTGTAAACATATTTATTCGGTACAAACTCTGAATATTTTCATGATAAAGTGAAGATTTTCTACACCAAAAGGCGTCATAGACCTCCACACCAAGAAACAGAACAGAAGAAAAGAACATGAAACATAAGAATAAGAAAATATCATACCACTAGGATGTTTATTGAATAAATTATTGTTTTCAATGTAACATAAATTTAACTACTTAATAAATCAATAATTTCTATCAATATCCAGATATATCATTATGACTATGAGCATATGTATGTGTATATATATATATATATATATATATATATATATATATATATATATATATTTATGTATATGACGGATGACGTAATGCACTACTAAAAATTATTTTTTCCTTTACACATTTGTTTGTTTTTGTAACCATTATAAATGGCTAGGATGATATACATACCTACTTATCTGAAGTTTTTTTCATTTATTTCTGGTGAGTGCATACGCTATTTAAAAAAAATATACCCTAAAACGGTTCCTTTTACTATAATATAATAAATGAGCCGAATTATATTTATTTTAAATTTTGAATGTACTTGGTAGATATTTTAATAAACTAGAAACATTTTAAACAGCTTAAACATTCCACCTTCATAACGTTTTAAATAGAAAATTAAGAAATCATGCTGAAATTGTTGTTTAAAAACATATGAATCGAACTAATATTAACGATGAGATATGAGACTATTTGCTCAGCATACCTTTGACCTCAGACAGAATCGATAGGGTGGGTGAGCTTCGTTGCCTATAGACTTTAATATCGCAAATTACCTGTTGCTATAGGAGCCTGACCTTTGAGATATCGAAAATATTTTTCAACATAAAAAAAAACTCCTTTATTAAATATATGAGAAGGTGAGAAAAGGAATTTCTAAATGAGTTTTTTAATATTTCAGAAAACGTAGGTAACCTTTGTTTCGCCGGAATAGTTTTAAAATTAATACCTACCTTTCACATCTTTTATAAAGGGTCTACCCACAATGCTGCTCACCACAATCCAGGAGGAAAATATACCAATAATTTTAAATCGTCAAAATATTTTATTCGTTCGTTATTATTAGGTTTTTAACACCGTTTATAAAACGAATAAAGTAAGTAAAAGTTTAAATGGTAAGTTAAAAGGAGCTAATGTTACTCAAGTTTTATGTCACATAGCTATGAAATAATATCTTTTGATTCAAAACATTCCTAGCAATTCCGAAACATTGACTGCTACCTAAGCTGACGATACACTAATTTTAACAAAACACCATAACCCCAGAATAGCCTCACTAAATTTTAAATTTACTAAATTTGCCAAATTCAGTACTAATTTTCCTCGTATCTAAAAAATTCTATGTTTTAAATTCAATAGAGCTATTCTGCTCAAATTCATAAAAGTTGTGGAATGAAATTTAAACGTAAAAAAAAATAATTCAAACCAATGTCAGGTACATTATACTTCATCTTATAATACATCTACATGTTTTGATAAAAATATTCTGCCTGGAGCGTCATCCTTAAGTGATGACTAAACAGAATACTGTTCTCATTTTTCGTCTAAACATTTTTTGTAAACCACAAAAATTTCTATTTGTTGTTGAATAATTCTCCGATGGGAATGCATTCGCTCGGTCTTGGATTTTTCTCAGTTACCATATATTTGGTTTTTGCAGTGTTGAATTTAAGGCCCATTTTTCTTGCTGGTTCTGATAGTTTTAAGAATCCATCAGAGACTGCCTGGAAAGAGCGTCCAGCAATATCGACATCATCTGCACAAGCAAGAATTTGCACTGTTCGGCTGAATACGGTTACGCCTACATAAACACCAGACTCTCTAATTGACTTCTCTAAACCTAAATCAAAGACAAAAAGACCCATTCCTAAAGAAATTTTGTATAATAAACATGAAAATAAATCATTTAATTATACTATATTTTCCATGTATAATTATGTCGATGACTTAATAGGTAAAAGAACAATTAAAAATAAGAACTAATCGCGTATTGCGTTTTCTTTTTCATATAATGGTTATATGTTGTTGAGAAACGATTTGAGGGGTTGGAAAAATTATAAGGTTACACCAAGTCGCGAAATCTTTGTTCTGGACGCGACAAATACCATGCCGCCATCCCTCTGGGTAGTTTTTCAGGATAATTGTCTCTTCTTTTCTGCCCAAGAACATAAAACCAGGTCGTAATTTTGGTAACTGAATGGCTCTTGGGATAACTTCAGTCTCGTGGTTTTATTGATGACGAAGGCAGAAATAAGTTTGACTTGCCCTTTATATCGCGGCCAGTAATATAATATTTTTATTTTCGCTCTTCTAAAGCTAGATTTTAATGTTACAATCACGCTGACAACATAACAATAAAAAAGTATACCAAAAATAGTTTTACTATAACTGAACATAAAGTTTGGGTAGAAATATACTTGTTCTTTCTCTTTTGCCATTAAGCATAAAGGAAGCAAAATCCACCGGGACCATTCCTTTCGGGTATATTCCATCATCCTCAGTTCTTCAATGGTTTTTAATCCTTCCTCAACGACCAGCCAGGTGATATATTCGTTGTATGATATCCTCCGTTTGGGTATTTTACCATTCGGTCAAGCTTCCTTTTATTTTCTTGTCTATCGTTAGTTATCTTTTATGGAATTCACTTTTCAATGAGGGTAAGGCCAACTGCTTCCTTATCTCCTCGTTTTTTATGCAATCTCTTCTTGTCTTCTTTACTAATCTGTAAAAATATTTCATTACCATCACAATACGACGGCTCGTATTTCATTGTTAGCCAACTCTCAGACCTATATAGCAGGGTCGGCAGATGAAAAGCTCAGAAGATGTGGAGCTAGAATGGATTTGTCACCTTTCCTTCCTCTATTATTTAATTGCACATTTGGTATTAGATTTAATTTGTTTATCTAAATATGTGATTTCATCTACAACCTTCATCTCCTCTCTGTTACAAAAGAAATGTACATCTTCTGCTTTTCTAGAAATTATCAGACCACTACTTTCTCTGTAGTTCATTATCATTTATTTCCTACTACGCTTCTCTTGCCATTCGATTAGTGTCCGCTAAAGTTTTGTTCGTCGTCACAGGAAAAACAATATCATCTGTGATTAAATATGCCAGTATTGGAATAAATATCAGCATTGTTCTGAAATTCCACTTCCCGATTACAGAACATTTCGTCCTTTTCTTACGCGTGTTGTAGATTTCGTTCATACAGATGATGAAAAGAAATTTGCAACTCTCTTTATATCTGCAACACATCATTGAGCCAGTCAGTTCGAATATTGTTTAGGTACATTTAGAAATTACTGAAACGGATGGTCCTTTTGTTATGAATACTATCAGTGTTAAGTTTAAAATGATAGTACTGATAGAAACACATTGTTGAGAACAATTCCACTGGTAACATCCATTGGATTGGTTATTTTGTAAATACTAATGTAAAACTTTTCAAATACAATGAAAAAGTTTAGTTTACGAATCGTCTCAAAACTACATCTTTGGCATAAGAATGGTCAATTTGATGCCGGTCAATACCTCGAAATACTCTTCGGATGGATAGAAATACCAATTAGCTTCTACGACCAGAATACTTCTAAAGATCTAGCGGACCCAATAACTATAAAGGAAACTACCGCTAAACCCGATTCGGTGGGATTGCTACCTTAGATCTGGTCTAATGATTCTGTTGAATGTCGTCCTCCTCTACTTCCTTTACAATTCGCAATTATAGCAATTTCCACTATTGGGAGACCAAGTTTGACACTTACAGGATGATATCGTACCTGCATAGAGTTTCTACTTTTCAGTTTGCTAGAGTATATATATATATATATATATATTATATATATATATATATATATATATATATAATATTTATATATATATATATATAATATATATATATGTACACATTGGTTCTAGTAGGAAGAACTAGTTCGGCAAGTTGGCTTTTTTGGCTCTTCTGGTCTCTTTTGGCAACCCCTTAAGGCTACCTAGTGGTTGCCGTCATGCACTGACCAGATAGGAATTGTCAAGATATCCTTTCTCGGGACCTCTAAGATATTTATTGTCTATGATTAAATCGGAAAGGACGAAAATTGCGAACTTTCTAGAGCGCAAGAAGGTCCACGGCAAATACTGTTAGATGCTGATACAACAGGAAAGAAAACTATTATGAAATAGCACTGAATAAAGACGCATCTTTTCTAAAGATTATGAGTACGTTGAGAACAAGAAGATTAAAATGTATTTCACAAACACACTGCGTAGAATTTATTGAAGTGAAAATCTTGTATTTATTTTTCAAAAGTGTATGTTGAACAAATAGGATTTAGTAACTACCAATTGCTAATTTTATACCACTTATCATTTATCAAATTTGATAACACCAAAAACCTTACCCCGCCAGATCAGCCTTAAGCAACCTTCGGATGCTTGCCTGTCAACACAGAGCATATTAACTTTTCAGAAATTCTTTCTTTACTAATCCCAGATATTTTGCATGTTCATTTTATTAGCCTCAACGCAATTACCTCAAATATGTTAAACAGGTAGAATTCGCGTAATTCCCCATTGTATAACCGTCTTAATTCTCATTTTGATTTATCTTTCCTGAATCCGAATATTCTACGCAATACTTTATTTTCAAAAACCTTTAAGACGTGGCCTATTGCTTAAGGCTCCTACACACAGAACGCGATATGTCACGGCGATAGAAAATCTCTCTGTTGGTGATTTATTCAGCATGTGTGATGTAGATGTATATTTGTGGAATGTATAGTCATACAACTATATCGCCATATTGCCGCCCATAAGAATATCGTATCGCTGAGACATACGTAGTCTATTTGCAGGAGCCTTTAATGTGAGAGGTTACGTTTCGTATACGTGAAGAACCGAAGGTAGAATAATTGTGTTTTAAATTCGAATTTTTAAATATCAATCGTTTAACGTATTTAACCTAGCCTTAACTCCCTCTTTAATGTGTAACAATAAATAAATTAAATAATCGAAATTCCTTTTTAAAAGAGGTGTTTCTATATAATAATACATCAAACTTATCAAATATAGGAAGTGATTAGTAAATACACTTGAGTTTCACTACACATGAATATATTCAGAAAACGATACACAGAAAGGCTACGTAGGAGCGTAGAAGAAAATTGAGATATAGCGAAGAGAGCTGAGGGACATCAATCATTGTGCAGTATTGCCCGGGTGGGGAGCACACCTCATTAGCATACGCTCTCCCGATAACACTATCTGATATAGGGCCTCCATTGTGTAAACAAAAACAGCTGTACTACAGCAAGCTTAAGCTATTGCCTCCACATCTAGAATATGGTTTTAATTAATTGAATTTTGAATCGTAAATAAATTATTAAGTTTTACTTCCAAATTATTTACCTTAAAACAACATTTTTTTTATATAAATTAAACAAAAATAAACAAAAGATCTCAGATTTTCTTTCTTTCAGTTTTATATTAGAAGTAGATCATTTTACAGAGTCATTTAAGCATGAAAAAGAGCTAACTCTGTGGTTATAGACTAATTCTTCAATGATTCCATAGAAGAGACGATTTTCTCAATGGCTTACTATAGGTATGGTACAGGTATGGAACTCGTGCCTGTATACACTCTTATAGTATGTCATGTCCATCAAATCAAATCAGGTCAATTAAATCAAAATATTTAATTCAAAATAATAAAACTTTTTTTCCATAAATGGTCTTTTGTTTCTGATGATTTTTTTTTTTTTTTAATACAAAAACGTTTCTGATGATCAGTGCTATGATCAGCCTGAACAAAAATATAACAACTATAATTTCGCTCGTTGATACATTTTTATTATTTAGTTAATGCCATTAATTAGATTACAGGTCTCCAAATCCACGCGCGGGCCTTGACTTGTGATGTCAAAACAAAAATTTTTCTATATTGATAGTTTATTTGTGAAATATGCTACCTGCTCATACAATAAATATTGTAGGAACATCGTGTTAGAGTGATTAAATAAATTTCATATTTCATTTTTTTTTATTTATCCGCGTGTTGAAAGACACTTTCGAGGTCCGAGTTAGAGGCACTTGTAGGCTGTAGTTTAGGGAGTCCTGAACTATATTATAAATAGAAAAGTCTACTAGAGACGGTAAAAAAATAAGTTTTTGAAGTAACATTTATCTAATTTTTGCAATGAAATTTTTAGTTAGCATTAAACCCTTCAGCTATCGTTTTTTAGAGGTCATGTTGATTTTTCTAATTGTAATTAAAAGCTTAAAAACTTCCGAACAATGCAGAAGATTATTCTGAATTTTAGAAATATGGCCTTATTTATTTATATTTATAATGTATATAGGTGACCAAACAAACAATATATATATATATTATATATATATTATATATATATATATATATATATATAATATATATATATATATATATACATTTCACTTCATTACATTGCCTTTTCACTAAATTTCAGACATGATAGATAATGTCTAATAGACTCAATAAATAATACCGATCATTATGTCTATAATAAGAGTAGGGATGAAAAGGAAGGCGAAGTGAATCGAGAAAATACAATATTAAAGGCTGAAAATTAATAATCCATAACGGAATAAACTAACAAACAGGTTATTAAGCGGTGTGTGCAGCACCTAGGTACCATGCATTAGGTGCAGTTTATGACGCTGATTGCCGTGGGAAGCAAACTAGGAACGTGAAGGAAATAAAATCAGACTACATTGGAAAATCAATAGGCTTGCTTATCCAATTTGTTGTTGCAATCCTTTGTCGAATGGACATTAAATACGATCACCCTTTTGTTGAACGTGATGGCAATTATAGATGGCAAAGTTGAAACATTAATTTACTCTTTATTAAATATTCTTTTTGATTATTCTTTAGTTGTTATTTTTCCTCTTTTTATTTTATTTATATTTTCTTTATATATATTGTGAATGTGGTTTTACCTCAATTGATTATTGTCTAAGTGACATAATATTATCTTAACTAATAAATAAATTTTTAAAATATATATAATATAAACTTTTACTAATATCTCCTCCGGGTCATTAAGTAAATATAGTTATAAGTATAGTTATACTTTATAAGTGTACTCAAAGGATTTTTTTTGGCTCAACTCAACCCGTTTATTTTGGCAATCGAATGGTCTTAGGCATCTGTTTAAGGACCGACATATACCTTTTAACAGAGTGCTTTTAAACTTTTCGAAGTTCGAAACAGTAGATGTTTGATATATCATAGATTTAATTTTATTACTTAATTAATTTTTATTTGATTTTGTTTTGAAAAAAACAACAACTATAGTTTTTATTTTAGGTATATACTTCGTTTCAGTTGCTACTGATTATAAAATAACTAAATAATTTTATAAAAAATTGAAATATTTTCAGCAATAATTAAAAACAAAGCATCAGAAATACCATGCGAGAGTCACTCATGGGACATGACATTGTTTACGTAATGTGAAAAAAAAGTATGCTGGATTGATATGGATTAAAAATATTATCTAATTTAAATGAAGGTATGTCATTAATATTTTTTTTCATAAAATGTTAACGCTTCTTCTTTCGTAGCAATATTTTAAATAAAATAACTCAGAGAAAAATAAACAGATACCGTCAGCCAAAGAAAATTTTAAATTTAGTTGTAATCTGATAAAATTATTACTCTTACCCTTACTATATATTACATATATACGCAGATGAAAGCAAAAACCGCATTGAAGTTCTAATCAGTTGCAACACGCGTAAAGTAAACAGAGCGACAAAAATGAGAAAACAATTTATTCACTCTGATTAGAATTTTAAAAATTATATACACTGAATTCCTCCGTGCAGGGCAGAACAAGAGTCCTCTGTTAAATTCCATACTGAATTAATTTAGAATATCATGGCATTATAAATACGGCCATTCCTATTCTCTCTGCTTCAGGAATTTCTCAAACGGATTAGTCTTACAATACATTATTGCATTTGAGACATCGGTTCTGAAGGGAACCAAAGAGACAGAATTCCCTTGATTAAATTCTCAATCAAATAAACGTCTCATGTTGATAAATGAAATCTATAAAATCAAATTCTCATATTGATTTTGAAAACGTTTAATTTACTTGTTGTTTACATAATAATTAAATTGCTTCAGAAACATTATTTTTTTTCCGTGGTTACAAAAACATGGAAGTTCAACTGCGTTCAAACTCTGTTTTAAGACTCTATTCAGTACCAGAATAAAAATAATTATAATTTTACTGTTCTTAAAAATTTTAATGTTTAAGATTTTAAAAGTAAACTAAATTAGTCACAATTATATAATCATCATTATATGACTGGCTATATCAATGGCGGGAATGTGTAATTTTTAAAAAGTCGAGAATATTTTCATAACATCGCTTCAATCAATGATTTTTTTTCTTCCATGAATCAACTTGTGCACTCTTAAATACAATAATTAGAAACGGTTTAGTTTGAACCTCTAAAACAAACATTGACTTTTTCTCCACTTTCTGAAAATGATAAATGTCCGTCTTCGGATGAGGTCAATCATATGTTTCCTCTTTTGCCGCTTCAGCAGATTGAAGTTGCCTCCTTTAGTGCTTGGATCTAGTTGGCTTTTCTTGCACCAGTTCTAGCTGCTCTTC